GGTCTGGTTTAATGACCTTTTCTCTAGTTTTTTTCCCAAGAGGCAAGTGATCTTTTTCTCCTCATCTGTTGATGCCATGACTGAAATGGTGAGAAATGAAGGAATTTGTCACGAGCAAATTACAATCAAGCCCAGCGTGGCTGCGGGAGGGTCTAGAGATTTCCTGGTGGGCTGGTCTGATGTGTGGGCTGCAGGGCCAGTGCCCCCTGTTTTTTTTAGAGCTTTTTATGAATAACATATAAGCACAGAACACCGCTGCGGCTGGGGCTGCCAGCTCTCGTTTTTTTTTTTTTTTTGTTTGTTTTTTTGCGACCTGTCAATCAGTCCAGTAGGCGTGTCAGCAAATGACCAATTGGCAAACTCAATTTGTCCCGAAGGTAAACGCCCCTTGCCTGTGGAGCTGACTGCAGCTGCTCAGGGTGGACGCTTGAGTATGAAGTGTCAACCCGTGTCTGACAGGACTCGCAAGTATGCTGGAGCCTTAAGACTGCTTTGCTCACGCAGAAACGTAACCCAGGGTGAGCTAACCTCTGGCAACCAAACAAACAAGATAGCTCTAATTCAATTCAATTCATTTATTTATATAGCACCAAGTCACAACAGACATTATCTCAGAGAACTGTACAAAAACCAACAAAGTCCATGCTCAATAATCCAGGTTCATCTGAACAGTTTATTTTTTTTAATGCTGAAACGTTTCACCTTCTATCCAGGAGGCTTTATCAGTCAAGGACTGATGAACTGAACTGGACTCTGCTGTCATCCTGGATATACTGGTTCCATGTTGTTCATCTGGCTCGTTCAGGCTGTCACTCCTTTGCTTAATGTAGCTTAAAACATTAAATGGACTGGAAAAATGAACTGAGAGGAATTTTAAATGAATAGTTCATCCAACATCCAACTTCGACGTCCTCCTGCATTGCACCTGGGCCGAGCCTCATTCATAACTGGTCTGTCTCTGGTGGGAGGACAGCATCTCCTCGCAGGAAAATGAAAATAAAAACTCTGTTGTGTGATCGAAGTAAACACAAGCTAACATTATTAAGAATGTTGATTTACCTGCTGTAAATCAACTACTGATTATCACGGAATAGAAAGTTCGACATCCTCGTTGACTCGGTTCTGGTCCACTCAGCGACCGATGTGGAACTGTAGACGAAGCGGTCCTGCTTGTCGTCAAATCTGTCGACTCTTATTCAAAATCCAACCAAAATCCAACTTTAACTTGTTGTTAAGTTGTTGTCGTTAGCTGAGCTTTTAAACTCAGATGAGGGTCCTTACAGGGAGCGAGCCGAGGCAGCACGCATGCACATTAGGTGAATGTACAAAATTCACCTTGCCAACTAATGACCTGGCAGGAAAACTACAGCAGATTCACGGGGTGGGGCGTGGGGTTCCTCCGGTTGCATGTAAACACAAAGGTGATTTCAAGACTTCAAAACTGCTGAGTGAAATGCACATGGTTTCTTTTCCCTTCAGTTGCAGTGTTGATAATGCATCCAGTGATGTTCAGATGGAACTCATTGACTTGCAGTCTGACACTCTTCTGGTAGATCGCTTTGGGTCAGTCTCACTGCTTGAGTTTTACTCTTCACTCAAACAGGAGAACTTTCCACACTTTAGGAGACATGCTCAAAAGATCCTTGTGCTCTTGGAGTCTACATATGTATGTGAGCAGACATTTTCAGTAATGAAGTTCAACAAGTTCAGATACAGGTCTTCCATAACTGATGATCACCTCGCAGCTGTCCTCCGCATAGCCACATCAGACATTCAGCCAGATTTCAATCCACTTGTTGAAGCCCAAGACAGACTGGACTTTTCTCATTGAACAAGTAAACTGAACTATTGACATGATACTTGAGTCTTTATATTCCTTATAATACTTCAGTTTTGGAGTACTTTATTTGTAGTAGAGGATTTTGCAATATTTAAAATACTTTGATGCTTTGTCAGTTCTTACAGGTTTTCAAGTCGTTCCAGTTTAATTTTGCAGTTATTGTATTGTTACCTAAAGTGCTATTACTTTTTTGTGTGTACCTCTTTTTTGCCATATTTAAAGTACTTTGTGGTACTTTTTTCCATTCATTTTAATCTGATTGGAGGTACTTTTGTGTTATTCAGTCCTTTTCTTCAAGTTGCAGCACTTCAGGTCTATCAGGCCTTTCCATTACTTAAAACCACTTATTGCTCATGTATACAGTTGATCAGTTGTTCAACATAATACACACTATTTCGGTTGTGAAGAAATGAACAAGTTAAAAATTAAATTAAATGTGACGACTGTCTTTGTTTTAACCTATTAATTTAATAGAATTATTTCTTATTATCAAAATAATCTGATTTAAGTATTTCATTATAAAAAGAGATATAATTAGAAAACGTATAATGACCCAAGATTAAATTTGAGTCATTGCTGGTTTGGCCCTCCGACCCATTTCAGATTTTTCATGCGGCCCCCTGAAGAAATTAATTGCCCCCCCTGTGCTAAGGAGAGATCTTGGATTCCCATGTCCTTCATTTTAGATCCTAGTCTCATTTCTTTTTATATAGACCACCGTGAGAAATGTCCTAGATCCCATAGAAACAATTCTTGACAGGAGGGTACTGTGGGATTCCAATGTTTTTCCTTCTTTAGCTTTCTGAGTGGCAGGGTGGCGCCAATGAGCAGCAGCTCTGACCAATTCCTGTAATGAGCTCTAGGGGTATAAAGGATTGCTGAAGTGTTCTCTTCTTTGCTGGAACATTGGATACAACTGGTATTTGTGATATCCTTCTTGCGTTTTCCTAAAAGATTAGAATTATGTTTACCAGATTTTCTTTGTGCCCTCCTAGTTTTATTCCTTAAGGATCTTACTAGGTTTACCTGTTCTGTGTCTACAAGCTGATACTACCCTTGAACCCTTGCTGCCACTTGCCTTCAGTCTAATGCTTGTCTTGCTGCTCACTTGCCTGCCAGCCTACCTTAAACCTGCCTATCTACAATCCACAATGGTATCAGCTACTACTTACCTTTATCATCTCCATCTCTGCCACCATACATACCTCAAATCCTCCACCCTCCTTTCTGTGCCATTGGACCACAAGGAACCTGTAAGGAAAACAATATTTAATATTAGCTTAGACTTTACATGACCTGGAAGCCATACTAACCCATCTCCATCCTTTGCAGATCTCCCCAGTTCCTCCTGTAAATACCACTTGTAAATAAACATCACTTTTATCCTGAGTTGTTTTGGGTCTGTGACTCTCAGTTCCTCTGCTCTGGGTGTTCATTGTCACAATTATGATACCTACTGTGACTCATGAAACACCAACTAGGGAGTTGTAAGATTATCTACAGAAATCAAACTACATTTAAAAAGCATTGCATTTTATTTTACCATAATTGTCAAGAGAAACATTATGCATGGATTAAAGCCGTATAATGGCAATTAGGAAATGTTTAGTTGCAGATATTGCTGCACTGGTGAGTCACACCAGATAATGAATGCAAAGGTTCACATACTTTTGCCACTCATAAATATGTACTGGTAATATATTGGATCATTTTCCTTAATAAATAAATGACCAAGTATAATATTTTTTGTCTCGTTTGTTTAACTGGGTTCTCTTGATTAATTTTGGACTTGTGTTAAAGTCTGATGAAGTTTTAGGTCATATTTTTGCAGAAGTATAGAAAATTCTAAAGGATTCACAAACTTTCTAGCACCACTGTAGGCTTCATTCAGTTATTGCAAGGGAAGGAACTGTGTGTTAAGTGTAACTGTTGTGAAACTTTTGCTTACCTAAATTTTTGTGTTCTGTTTCAAACCATCCAGACACAGATTTGTTCCACCTCAAACTTGTCCTAAATGCCGACAAAACCAAAGGGATGCTTTTTTCAAATAGGAAGTTGGTCCCAGCAGTTCTTCCTCTGATTTCATCCTCAAATGGTGTCCCTATTGAGTTTGTTGATTCCTATAAATATTTGGGTATCTTGGTCGATTTGCATCTCTCTTTTAAGCTCCATGTGGAAAACTTGGTAACGAAACTGAAAGTTAAACTGTTTCTTTTTCAGAAACAGATCCTGTCTAACCCTGAATGCTAGGAAACGCCTTGTATCTGTGACTTTCCTTCCCTACATTGATTACGGTGACATCATTTACATGAACGCTCCTACAAGAACCCTGCAGATGTTGGATCCTGTCTATCATGGTGCACTAAGATTCATAACTGGCTGTGATTATCGTACCCACCACTGCACCCTGTATTCACTGGTTAACTGGACATCATTAACTTCACACAGACTCTCTCACTGGTACATTTTCATCTTTAAATCACTTCTTGGTCTGCTGCCTTCATACATCTCCTCCTACATGTTTCTGCGTGAGTGCAGCTACAGCGTGCGCTCTCAGGACATTATTACCTGCAGTGTTCCCTCAGTGAGGACTAAACTAGGCAAAAGAGCCTTCTCCTACTCCGCTCCTGTTTCCTGGAATATCTTACAAAAAGATTTGAAGCTCTCGACCTTGACCTCTCTAAGTGTCTTTAAGAATCTGTTGGACTCCTGGCAGGGACCAGTGCAGACATGTTCCTGTTTTTAGTTTTCTACATTCGCCTTAGAATCTAGCTGTTTTTTGTTATTTTTCTTTTTTTAGTCATCCTATTTGTAAAAAAAAAAAAGAAATTGTATGTTTTTTTTTTTTATAACTATTGTTGCTGTTGTCCATTGTTGTCATCATTCTTTGTTGAAATCAGGTCTCTTGTAAATGAGTCCTCGAGGCTCAGTGGGATTTACCTGTCTAAATAAAGGTTGAATGAAAAACAAGACCATCTTGTCCATTAAGTTAAACAACTGTTAATGTGTGTGGGAACGAAATTTGAAATGCAAAAATAAAACTCTTGCCCTTTCTGTACTCAGTTTTTGAGGGCTCTGTACTTTGCCCATTTTTAGATGATTTGTTTATCAATTTTTGTGCAACAAGGCAAGTTTATACAATTCATCATATTTCTCACAGATCCAATCATCTGGAGGATATTGTCACTTTGATCAAAGGCCGTATTGAGGACATTAAGCTCCCAGTGGAGAAAGTTGACATCATCATCTCAGAATGGATGGTAAGTGCATATATTAACTTAAATATTCACGGGCAGTTTGGTAACTTCATCAAACAAGGGTTTACTATATTTTACATCTGTAGTTTAAACAGTTCTCCTCACCAATAATGGCATCTCATCATTTTTTGCAAAACATTTACAATATCTTCAGAAATTAATCGAAATTTATCAAATTTATAAAATCAGATCTTTTCATTGGAAATCCAAAGCAATTCAACAAAAAACATTGGTTCTTAACTTACAAGTTGTATTTTCAAGAAAGAAACTGAAAAAAAAAAAAAAAACGGTATGGGCAGCAATTTTGGCAACTCTAATATTTGCAGCAATGATATCCTCCAAATGTTTCCTGTTGCTGTCTGTAAGCTTCATCCACTTCTCGGCTGGTATTTTTTCTGACTCTTTCTAGGTTGTTCGTTTAAGCTCTTAAATGTTTGCAAATTAATTTTTCCCAATGGCAAGCTTCAGCTCATGCCAAAGATTTTCAATGAGATTGAGATCAGCATTCATTGCTGGCATTTTAAAACAGTCCATTTTTTCACTTTTGTCCTCTTCTGCATTCTTTTGGAGGTACGCTTTGTGTCTTTGTCTTGCAGAAAGACCTTTGCCTCTAGTCAAGTCTTCTTACATTTAGAGATGCACCAATCCGATACCAATATCGCTATCGATCCCTATATCGAAAAACTTCTGGATCGTGTATTGGTGACAATGTGACTGATCCATGACTGAGCAGATCTATTCACTCTAACTCTATGCTTTGTGCTCTGAGTGATGTCACGCGCTAGTGAACTCACTGCACAGATTGTTTTCAAAATGGAGTGAGTGAAAGAATCTGGAACTATTTCACACTACCTCAGTCAACACATTCGCCAGCTACGTGCAATATGTGCACAGTGACGGTTCCAGGGGGTGTCACTAAAACTTCCAGTTATAACACTACCATCTTAATCAAGCGTCTCCAGAGATTTCACCCTAAAGAGCTCGCTGAGTATGTTGAATGGAATTCAGCACTGTTTTTCTGTATCAGATCGGTATCAGATGGGTATCGTCGATAGCAAACCTCAGATGTCGGTTTCGGTATCGGAAGTGGAAAAAATGGATTGGTGCATCCCTACTTACATTGAACAACATATGCTCCCATCTAGACGTCATCTCTTTCAGGGAAGACCCTGCATTTTTCAACGCGATAATGCCAGACCACATTCTGCAGCAATCACAACATCATGGCTACGTAGGAGAAGGATCTGGGTACTGTAATGGCCAGCCTGCAGTCCAGATCTTTCACCTATAGAGAACATTTGGCGCATCATAAAGAGGAAGGTGCGACAAAGAAGGCCCAAGACGATTGAACAGTTAGAGGCCTGTATTAGACATGAATGGGAGAGCATTCCTATTTCTAAACTTGAGAAACTGGTCTCCTCTGTCCCCAGACGTCTGTTGAGTGTTGTAAGAAGAAGGGGGGATGCCACACAGTGGTAAAAATGGACTTGTCCCAACTTTTTTGGGATTTGTTGACGCCATGAAATTTGGAAACAACAGATTTTTCTCTTAAAATGATACATTCTCTCAGTTTAAACTTTTGATCTGTGATTTGTGTTCCATTCTGAATAAAATATTAGATGTTGACACCTCCACATCATTGCATTCAGTTTTTATTCACAATTTGTTTATTGTCCCAACTTTTTTGGAATCCGGTTTGTACAAGAGAACAAGTGATCTTTGCCAAAGAGTACCTGGAGTACAGTCCTTCTGGGAAAATGTTCTGTGGAGAGATATAACAAAACTAGAACTTTTAAAGCAATGAATGCACACCAACAGTTTATTTAAGGATGGCACAATGAAGCTCACAATGAAAAGACCACCCAACTCAATTAAGCATGGTGGAGGATCCATAATGCTGTGGGGCTGTTTTGCTGCTTCTGGCACTGGAGACCTTGACTGTATCACAGGAATCATAAAATTGGAAAATTACTGAAATTTCAGAGCAATCTGTTCCCCTCTAGAACCTGAACATAGTTCTCTGCATTAATGGTGCCTTTCCAGACATGCAAGCTGCCCATGCCACAAGCGCTCATGCAACCCCATATCATCAGTGATGCAGGCTTCTGAACGGAGCGTTGATAACAACTTGGGCTATCCTTGTCCTCTCTGGTCCGGATGACATGGCGTCCCAGTGTTCCATAAAGAACTTCAAATCGTGACTCATCTGACCACAGAACAGTCTTCCATTTTGCCACACTCCATTTTAAATGACCCCTGGCCCAGTGCAAACGTCTGAGCTTGTGGAGCTTGCTTAGAAATGGCTTCCTCTTTGCACTGTAGAGTTTCAGCTGGCAACGGCGGATGGCACGGTGGATTGTGTTCACTGACAATGCTTTCTGGAAGTATTCCTGAGCCCATTCTGTTATTTCCTTGACAGTGGCATTCCTGTTTGAGGTGCAGTGACGTTTAATTGCCCAGAGATCACGAGCATCCAGTAGAGTTTTACGGCCTTGACCCTTACGCACAGTGATTGTTCCAGATTCTCTGAATCTTTTGATGATGTTATGCACGGTTGATGATGATAACTTAAAAGTTTTTGCTATTTTACGCTGGGTAACACCATTCTGGTATTGCTGCACTATCTTTCTGCGCAACAATGTGGAATTGGTGATCCTCTTACCATCTTGGCTTCTGAGAGACACTGACACTCTGAGAAGCTCTTTGTATACCCAATCATGTTGTCAATTTACCTAATTAGTGTTAATTGGTCTTCCAGCTGTTCGTTATATGCTCAATTTCCTTTTTACAGCCACTTTGCTACTTGTCCCAACTTTTTTGGGATTTGTTGACACTGTGAAATTTTGAATCAACATATTTTTCCTTTAAAATGTTACATTTACTCAGATTAAACTTTTGATCTGTCATCTTTGTTATATTACGAATAAAATATTGACATTTGCCATCTCCACATCATTGCATTGAGTTTTCATTCACAATTTGTTTCGTGTCCCAACTTTTTTGGACTGCGGTTTGTATATTGAGCATTTATAATGCAAAATCATAAATTAAAGTCTGAGCAGTTCTTTTGTTTAGGCTTTGGTATTCAGTGAAAAGCAAATTATTTGCCTGATGGAGATCCGCAGGCCTCCATCTGTTAAAATTGTTTTAGAATTGTGGCGTGTTACCAACCTGCTGTTAATTAGGCAGTCTCACATTTCTGTGGCATTTAATAAAATCAGTCACACTCTGCCCCCAAAACAAATTTTCAACCAATTTTAGATCAGTAGTTTTATTTATATTAATGTTTTTATTTATGATAATGTTTAAGACTAAGTCTGAAGTATTAATTTATTCACAAGTAATGGAATATTCAGTCTAATTCTAATAGCAGCTAAAACACAAAGTCAGACTACAGTATTTTATTTTAAATTTATTGATAGTTAAAAAGTTTTAAATAATTGTGCATCGATTACTTCTCTGCTACTCTGTTCTTTGTAAATTAACACTGAGTGCCTGACAAACTGGTGTTAGTTATATAATCAGATGGATTATTAGCCTCTGTAGGGTGCCTGCAGTAGTGGGCTACAGTATATATATTGCACATGCTAACATTCTAGCTTGTAGCTTATTACAAACACTTGTTTTAAAGCAGCATTATACTGAATATAGCGATGGGTTTTGCTTTTCCATGATTAACTGGGTTATCCTTTGAATAAAATATACAACCAGTGTTGTCACAATCCCCCAATGGTCAAAACTGATTAACAGTTCAGAGCAACAGATAGAAGATGCTGATTGGCATGCCATTGGCAGAGAAAATTAAAAATTAACAAAAACAAAACAATAAAACACTTTGTCTTTGGTATTCTAATAAAAAAAACATTTAAACTTTATGATGTTATGGAAAAATTCAGTAGTTTCCATAGACTTTTAATAGTGAAACCAACATAGGCCTCTATCTACTTCTTCCATTATCTGTAATTCAAATGTGAGGAGCCTGCACACTTTCATTTTAAAATATTGGTTGAACTGTAAAATATGTTGTGACCATGTCTTTTGGAATCAGAGTTCAGATGTGTTTTATCTTTTAAGCTCAGTAACAGAAACCTGACCAAGCCAAAATATACCAGATTTATTTGACTGAATAAAAAAACGTGATTGAAATTTATTTACAAAAAAACATCTGTTTTATTGTGTAATCTTTGTTCAGTATTTTGTTAATTTGTGGTGTGACAATGTCTTTTGTGTTCATAAAAACATACAAACTCAATGTAGATGCACGTTCACTCTGATGTGCCAGTAAAAGTGTGTTGCATGTTTTGTAAGTGGCACCATTTGGGCTAAATTCAACCATAAGATCCTCTGAATCTCTAACCAGGAAGGGCAGTCTTCCTTCCCCTTGATGGCCATTTATCAGGGAGATTCTCTGTGGTGATACAGGCGGGACGGCCAAAGTTGAATGCACTACTGAAGTCATCTCTAATTCATGAGCATCCCATATCTGTCCCTCCTCCACCCCCCATTCATCGTGATACTCCAGGGTCACAAGCACAGGTCGTCAGCCAGAGCCTTCCCATCCTCTCACTGGGGAAATTGAAATTCGGTGGCTGACATGTCGGTGGGACAGTGAAGGATAGGGGGCGTAATCTCTGATGACACTGGCTCACAGAGTGCTAATAAATCTAAGAATTCCCCAGTCACTTCTCATCAGGGCAGCAATGGCAGACATTTCTCAGAATGGCTAAGACTTTAAAGCTGCGCTCTGATCTGTTCGTTTGAACAAGAAAATTGACAGTTGCCTCAGTCTTTCTGGACAGTTTCTTTTAACTATATTAAACTTTCTTGACTTTGTCTTGAATCAAAGTTGCGTTACTTTAGAGGTCCTCATGTTGTCTTTATCTTGTTTTTATTATTAATTTGTATGAGAAAAGTTAAATGTACTTTGTAAAACCCTTATACCTGTAGGTACATTTATACTATCTTGTTTTCATCCGTTGTCTTTTAAACAAGTCTTCTAAATA